TCTGAAACTTATTCTTGAATGTAGAGTAGCTAAAGTGAATGGGAGAAATGATGACTTCAAAGAGTTGAATGGAAGATTTCAGTGGGTGACAGGAGAAGACGAAGTATTATAGTAAAATGTGCAAAGATTTGAAGTTAGAAAACCAAAAGGGAAGAACACTCTCATTGTTTCTCAAGGTGAAGGAAAATGTAAACCTCAAGTTGCAGTATTGAAAAATTTTATGGGCAAAATACTGACTAGTGCAGGAAGCACCAAAAGAAGATGAGAGGAATACAGAGACTCACCATACTAAAAAGAATTGATCAGGATTTAGCCATTTCACAATAGCATATGATCTAGAACCAGTAGAAGAATTGAAGAACTTCAAGCTGCCCTGAAAATATTGGTGAAAAACAAGGAGCTAGGAATTGGTGGACTGAGATGTTTCAGCAAACTGATACAGCTCTAGAAGCCCTCCTCCTTTAGTCTAGGAAATTCAGAAGATAGCTCACCTGACCACCTAACTGGAAGAGAGCCATACTTTTGCCCATTCCAAAGAAAGGTGGTGGTAGTGGTTGTGTGCGAAAGGTGATCCAGTGAAATCACATCAACATTGGAGACTCATTAACAATCTACAGCATATAGATGACACAGTCTTAAAGGCCTTGTGATGAAGATCAATGATTGCAGTTTTCAGTATTGTTTACACCTCAACATAAAACAGAAATCCTTATAACTCGACCAGTAAGCAACATCATAATAAATGGAGAAAATGTTGAAGTTGTCAAGGATTTCATCTTACTTGAGTCCACAATCAGTCCCAAAGAATAGTAACATACTGTGTTAGGCAAATCTCCTGCAAAAGATCTCTTTGAAGTATTAAGAAGCCAAGTTGTCTCTTTGAGAACTAAAGTGTGCCTGATCTAAGCCGTGGTATTTTCGTTTGCTTCATATACACGTGAAAGCTGGCAAATGAAAAAGCAAGAGTGAAGAATTGACATTTGAATTATGCAGTTGGTGAAGAATATTGAATATACCATGGACTGCCCTGGAGAATAAGTAGCTCTGTCCTGGAAGAAGCATAGCCAGAATGCTCCTTTGAAGTCAGGGTGGTGAAACTTTGTTTCACTTACTTTGGACATGTTGCTAGAAGGGACCAATCCCTAGAGAAGAACATTATGCTTGGTAAAGAAAGGGTCAGCTCAAAACAGGAAGACCTTCAGTAAGGCACAGGAGTTGCAGAGATGGGCTCAAACATACTTTTGTGAGGATGGCAAAGGACTGAGAGCACCACTTGTTCTGTTATATAGCAGTCAACTTGATGGTACCTAACAGCAACAATATTTTTCCTAAACATTGAGTTAAAATTAACTTAATGACAATGGGTTTTATTTGTTTTAAAATATAAATTTTACCTTTTGTCATATTTGACTTGACAACAACTTTACATTCCATGTTCTGATTATTAATGGATTTTTACAGCTGTTTCTCATCATTTTGGATTGTGCCCCATCAGCAAATGAAAGTCCCGAGGGCTTTACTCCATTCAATTCAAAGTCTACTTTGAGGAAGCAGCTGTTCCCCAGTTGAATTTTGAGTGCCTTCCTACCTGAGGGGCTCATCTTCTGGCACTATATCTGACAATATTCTGGTGCTCTGATTCATTATGTTTCAATATTCAATAATCTAGTTCCGATGGTGTTTCACTGCTATTTATAAAGCTTTCAGTAACTAAATATTCAGAAGCAGTTTGCCTCTCCTTCCTTCCTAGTCTGTCATTGGGCTCTCAGCTGAAACCTGGACAAATTGGGTGACCCTGATGATAATTTAAAATACTGGTGGCATCGTTTCCAGAGTCACAGCAACACACAAGCCACCACAGTACAACAAACTGCCAGACAAGTGGTGTAGAGAAAAGGTCATCTGGGCAAAGGAGAGAGAGGATGCCTAAGTGTAGATTGCAGTCTGCAGATGAGATTAAGATTTCAGGGTTGCTCTCTGCTCTAATGGATGGTCATAATAGGGTTTTAAAAGGGAGTTAACCCAATTCGATCATGGTTTCATGTTACAAAGAGAATTAGAGGCCTAGCAGAACAGTTGTGACAAATGTTGACTCTGTTTCTCATTTTTAAGAACACCAAAACCCATTGTTGTTGAGTGGTTATCAATCCATAGAGACCTGTGGTGTGGTGGCAGTGGTAGTGTGCCGTGGAGTCGGTTCCGACTCATAGCAACCCTGTATAGAGGCTGTAAGTCTTTACGGGAGCTGAAAGCCTCATCTTTTCCTGCGGAACGTCTGGTAATTTCTTACTGCTGATCTTGAGGTTAGCAGCCCAACTCATAACCACTATGCTACCAGAGCCCCTTACAGGACAGAGCAAAACTACCTCTGTAGGGAGAGTCCTAGTATGGTAATGTAAGATCAACATTGGGCTGCTAACTGCGAATTGGTCTTTCAAACCACCAGCTGTTCCTTGAAAACGCTATACAGGGTTGCTATGAATCAGAGCTGATTTAGTGGCACTTATCACCAGCAGTAGTTCCTTATTGGAATAGATTGTCACATCTTTCTCCTGCAAAGGGAACTGGTGGGTCAAACTGCCAGCCTTTTGGTGAGCAGCTAGCTGAGTTCTTGACCACAGTGCCATCAGGACTCCTTTTTAAGAACAAGCACTCCAAAAGTGGAGATAATATTGCATATTTAATGTAGGATAAGCACTGGACTGCTAACTGTCAGGTTGGCAACTCAAACCCACCAACCATCCTGTGTGATAAAGATGAGGCTTTCTCCTCCTGTTAAGATTTACAGTCTCAGAAGCACTATGTAGGGTCACTGTGAGTAGGAATCCACTTAATGACAATGGGGTTTATTTGCTTTAAAATATAGATTGGCCTTTTTGTGATTTTTTTTTTTTTTGCCTTGACAGCAACTTACAGTGATACCACGTTTCAAAAATTGTTGTAGGCTTGACCATAGCACTATTGTGAAAGTAGATAACATACATACAGTTCTTTCTCTACTGGGTTACAAGTTTAATTTGTCCAGTGGTTAACCACAATTGCTGGAATATGACAACATGAAAGTTTGGCAGCTCTGCGTGAAACAAGTGATTCTTTTGTTCATCTGACAACAAACTTTAATATTTCTTTATTTGAAAATGTTTTAGGCTGAGTTGTGAGGCACACATGTACCACGATCTTTATTTGTTCATCAGAGGTGAATCTTCATATTCGAAGGGCTGCTTTCAGGGGATCAAACAGGTGAAAGTCCAACGAAGCAAGATCAGGACTGTTGGAAGGATGCTTTTAACAGTTTCTGCAGGGTGTCAACAGTGTGGGCAGATGTGTGCAGATGCAAAATCACAATGCCCTTGGATAGCAGTCCTCTGCGTTTATTTGGAAGTTTAGGCTTCAGCTCTTCATTGAGCACTGTTGATTGTTGAACCTTTTTCCTGATAGTGTTCCAATATTGTCTTTTGAGACTCCCAGAAAACTGTAAACATCAATTTTCCAGCTCATGGTTGAGTTTTGAACTTTTTCTTGGTTGGTGATTGAGGTCGTTTTCCATTCCATACCATGCCATTTACCCTCTGGCTCCTAGAGATGAATCCATGTCTCGTCACCACTAATGATTATTGTAAAGAAACTTTTACCTTCCTTGGAGTATCAGTCCAAATTTTGTTTGCAGATGTCTAAATGTTTATGCTTTTCTGTGGGTTGTTTCAGTACTCAACTGGCACAAACTTTTCAAAACTCAAATCTGTTGTGGATTATTTCATAGGCAGAGCTGTGGCTGACTGGCAAATGATGTGCCACAGAATCCACTGTCACTCGTCGCTCAAGTGTTGTCATCAACCTGGACGTGAATGGGTGTTTTAATATAACCAGAGTACCGATAATTTTTGACTCACCCTCATATGAAGTTTTTATACCTGTGTAACACTGGCATTTCTCACCTTTTCAACCCTTAGGATTTAGCATAATTGTTCTTTGTTCCTCATCCTCTAAGATGGTCTTCACATCCACCATCAGAATTAACCTAGTTGTTGTTAAGTGCCATCGAGTCGGTTCTGACCCTGGATAGGGTTTCCGAGAAGCAGCTGGTGAGCTTGAATTGCCAACTTTGCAGTTCAAATGGCTTTGCAGTCTGGTGCATTAGCCCACAGCGCCACACCAGGAATTAACCTAGAGTGCTTATTAAACTGGACAGTCTGGTGTGGTGCCATAGAATAAACACGACCTCAAGTCAGTTTGAACCTCAAAGTCGGTTCAAACTCAGCAGCCGCTCCTTGGAAAACCTATACAGGGTCGCGATGAGTCGGAATCAGTGCTTTTCACTGAACCATTTGCTATTCTCCATATATATTTCATTTTACTAATTTTATTCTTTTACCATACTATCAATTTGTCCATTTTGTCATTACCTTTGAAGTCCTTCCTATTTAAACTATCTGGTAATTCATTTCAGAGAGCAGTTTTATGTACTCTGGATACATATACTGCTTACGTTGAAATCTTGGCTTATCACTTTTCCAAGATCACAGAGCTGTTACTGTTATTAGGTGCTATCTAGTCAGTTCCGACTAATAACGACTCTATATTGCTATGTTTTAGTGTCCCTATATATAAAGTGAGGATAACAATTTACTTCATAGGCTCGTTAATATGTATTAAATGAGTTAATATTAGTACATTCCTTAGAATAATGCTTTTACATGGAAAGCACTTAGCTTTTGCTATGATTTCTTCCACTTTTCAGCTCTTCTAAATAAGCCTTTGTACTATAATAACAGGTATGTGTGTTTTGTTAGCACTTCCTTTCAGATGGTAAGTTCCTTGAAGTTAGGGCCTGCTTTCTTCATATATGCAGTTTTCAATGGATTTTACATGATATAAGGTGTCAATAAATAACTGCTAGATCAATTTACAGTAAAATGGCAAAATTGTCAGGAGTATTCTTTTTTTTTGTAGTCATTTACTTAAGTGATAATATAAAGTCATTTCATACTCTGTTTGTATTTCAGAAATTCTAATGATTGACCGGCACCATCTGACCAGTGGACTGCATATGTAGAAATGGGCATAGTGCCTTTGGAGCCAACATGTAACAGGTGGATACTACTCCGTGCTGATTAGTGCTGTAAGCCAACACCTTTTTGATTGTATATGCCTTTGTCTCTTCATCTTTGAATTTCAATAACTACTGTTGGCAAATAAAATAAAAAGAGTTCATGTAGTTTTTTCCAAACTTGGGTCACCATGAGTAGCTTAGGAAAAGAAAAAGACTCTAAAGAGAAAGATCCCAAAGTACCATCAGCTAAAGAAAGAGACAAAGAGGCAAAAGCTTCTGGAGGTTTTGGGAAAGAGAGCAAAGAAAAGGAACCTAAGACCAAAGGGAAAGATGCCAAAGATGGGAAGAAGGACTCCAGTGCTACCCAACCAGGAGTGGCCTTTTCAGTTGACAATACGATCAAACGGCCAAATCCAGCACCTGGGACTAGGAAAAAATCCAGCAATGCAGAAGTGATCAAAGAGCTCAACAAATGTCGGGAAGAGAATTCAATGCGTTTGGACTTATCCAAGAGGTCTATACACATATTGCCCTCATCAATCAAAGAGTTGACTCAATTAACAGAACTTTATTTATATAGTAACAAATTGCAGTCTCTCCCAGCAGAGGTGGGCTGTCTAGTAAACCTTGTGACACTGGCTCTAAGTGAAAATTCACTCACCAGTTTGCCAGACTCTCTTGATAACTTGAAGAAGCTACGGATGCTTGATTTACGGCATAACAAACTGAGAGAAATCCCTTCAGTGGTATACAGGTTAGATTCTCTCACCACCCTTTACCTTCGCTTTAATCGTATAACTACTGTGGAAAAGGACATCAAGAACCTGTCAAAGCTCATTATGCTCAGCATTCGAGAGAACAAAATCAAACAACTACCTGCTGAAATTGGTAAGAAGCCTTGGATTATTATTATTATTTGTATTACTTGTTATGCTAAATGATGTTGTTGAGTGTTTTTCCAGTATCAGAAGATACTGTTTCTAAATTTCATCTCCTTTATGATTTACTTTGGTTATTCAGGTTTTAGCAATATTACTAATATATGACTTGAAATTATTTTACACACTTAAGTGAATAAGGAAGTGTAGTAGACATAGTAAGTTAAGACGTGTTCTGCACAAACCTAACTGCCTTAATTTTTAGTTTTGGAAAAGTGAATTTAAAGCAGAACAAATGTTTCCATAATTTTTAGGTTATTACCTATGTAAGGAGTCTTGGTGTGGCTCTATAGGATAAGCACTAGACTGCACGGTCAGTTTGAACCACAAGTTTGAGGGTTCAAACTCACCAGCCCCTCCTGAGAAACTCTGTACAAGTTTGCTATGAGTCGGAACTGACTCGACGACACTTAGCAACAAGAACAGCAACAACCTGTTTAAAAAAAAATATTTACATACACAACAAGGCTTCAAAAGTGTATGAAAAAATTCCATTATCTTTTAATTCTATTTTTCCGTGAACTTTTTGAAACCCCTTCATATAATTATACTAGCTATATTAAGATTTCATGTTCTTGTTCTAACTTATGCTTGTCTGAAAAATATTTCTTTTAAATTCAAATCACTTTCATCATAAAGCGTTGGCATATAAGAGCTTTATGAAAGAGCAATGTCATTAGGAAAGAGAAATTATTTTTCTATTTTGAAAGCAGTTACATGGCCATCAAAAACAATCAAGAATATAGAAAGGTGGAGTAGTCTCCTATAGTAAAGGTAGCGCTTTTGACATTTTTCATTCTAGTATATAAAGTTAATTATACAGGAATAAAGTAAACATTTTTTAAAGAATAGTGGTGTTGATGGTGGTTATGTGCCATGGAGTCGGGGTCCGACTCAGAGTCACCCTTTTAGGGTTTCTGAGACTGTATACCTTTATGGGAGCACAAAGCCTCATCTTTCTTGCATGGAGGTGGCTGGTAGATTTGAACTGCTGACTTTGTGGTTAGAAGCTCAACTTGTTATCCACTCTGCTTCTTTTGTTGTTGGTGGTGCCATTGAGTCAGTTCCGACTCATATTGACCCCCACAGGGTTTCCAAGGAGTAGTGGCTCATGGGTTTAAGCCACTGACCTTGAGGTTCAAACGGATCTTATAGTCCAGTGCTTATCCTATACTATGCTACTTGTTAAGTGCCATCAATTTGTTTACGAACTCATAAATATCCTCTGTACAGCAAAATTAAACACTGCCAGGCCCTGTGCCAACCTCGCAATCGTTGCTAACCCTGAGTCCATTGTTACTTCCACTATGCCAATCCATCTCCTTGTGGGTTTTCCTCTTTTTCTGACCCTCCAATTTATCAAACATGATATCCTTCTCCACTAACTGGCCCCTCCTGACAATATGTCTGAAGAATGAGAGGACAAAGTCTGGCCATCCTGGCTTCCAACGAGCATTCTGGCTGCACTTCTTCCAACACAGATTGCTTCATTCTTTTGGCAGCCCATGATACTTCTAAGATTCTCCTCCAGTACTGTAACTCAGATGCATCAATTCTTCTACAGTCTTCCTTATTCACAGTCCAAATTTCACATGCATAAGAGATTATTGAAAATACCATGGCTTAAGTCAGGTGTACGTTAGTTCTCAAACTGACATTTTTGCTTGTGAGCACTTTAAAGAGGCCTTGTGTAGCGGATTTGCTTACTGCAGTACATAGGTTGATTTCTTGACTGCTGCTTCCATGAATGTTGATAGTTGATCTGAGCTTTTATGGATGTTGTTTATTGGTCTGGTGGTGAGGATTTTTGTTTTCTTTACATTGAGGTGCAACCCTTACTAAAGGCTGTGGTCTTTGATTTTCATCAGAAAGTATTTGAAATCCTCTTCATTTTTAGCAAGCAAGATTGTGTTTGCATATTGCAGATGGTAATGGACCTCCCTCCAATCCTGAAGCCATGTTCTTCTTCATATAATCCAGTTTTCTTGGATTATTTGCTCAGCATTCAGATTGAATAAGTATGGTGAAAGAATGAAACCTTGGCACACAGCTTTACTAATTTTAAACTATTCAGTGTTCCCTTGTTCTTTCTGTTCAAACAACTGCCTCTTGGTCTATGTACAGGTTCCTGAGGAACACAGTTCAGTGTTCTGGAATACTCATTTTCCGTAATGTTGTCCATAGCTTGTCATGATCCACACAATTTAAAGCCTTTGCATAGTCATTAAAGCACGAGTAAACATCTTTCTGGTATTCTCTGCTTTCAGCCAAGATCCACCTGACGTCAACAGTGATATCCCTCATTCCACATCCTTGTCAGAATTCAGTTTAAACGTCTGGCAGTTCTCTGTCCATGTACATTTGCAGCTGGTTTTGTATTATCTTTAGCAAAATTTTACTTGTTTGAGATATTAATGATACTGTCCAATGACTTCTGCATTCTGTTGGGTCACCTGTCTTTGGAACTAGCAGAGATAAGAATTTCTTCCAATCAGTTGGCTAGGTAGCCGTCTCCAAATTTCTTGGGGTAGATGAGTAACTGACTCTAGTGCTTCATCAGTTTGTTGAAAGATGTCAATTTGTAGTCCTTCCTGGTGACTCGTTCTTTGCCAGTGCCTTCAATGCCTTCTTCCTTCAGTATCATTGACTCTTGATCTTTATGCTACCTCTTGAAATGTTTGAACATTGATCTTTTTTCTTTTTTTTTTTTTGGTACAGTGACTCTGTAAATTCCTTTCGTCTTCTTGACGCTTTCTGCATCATTCAATATTTTGCTCATAGAAACCTTCAAATATTGCAAGTAGAGACTTGAATTTTTTCTTCAGTTCCCTCAGCATGTTCTTCCCTTTTGTTTTTTTAACTCCAGGTCTTTGCATGTTTTGTTATATTTGACTTTGTCCTCTCCAGCTGCTCTTTGAAATGTTCTATTTAGCTCTTTTACCATCTCATTTCTTCAATCTGCTTTAGCATCTCTACGCTGTAGAGCAAGTTTCAGAGGCTCTTTTGACATCCATTTTGTTCTTTTCCTTGCTTTCTTCCTGTAAGATGTTTTTAGTTCATCCCATAACTCTTCTGGTCTGTAGTCTTTAGTGTCTTCTGCATCAAATCTCTTCTTCAGATGATCTCTAAATTCAGGTTGAATGTGTTCAGGGTCATATTTTGACTTTCGTGGACTTGTTTTCATTTTCTCTAGCTTCAGCCTGAACTTGCATATGAGCAGTTGATGGTCTTTTGCACAGTCTACCTCTGACCTTGTTTTGGCTGATCATTTGGAGCTTTTCCACCATCTCTTTCCACAGATATAATTAGTTTGATTTCTGTGTATTCCATGTGGTGAGGTCTGTGTGTATAGTTGCCTTTTACGCTGTTTGAAAAAGGTATTTGCAATGAAGTCATTGGCCTTGCAAAATTTTCTCATGTGATCTTCCAGCATTGTTTCTATCACCAAGGCCATATTTTGCAACTACTAATCTTACTCTTTGTTTCTGATCTTTGCATTCCAGTCGCCAGTTATTATCAATACATCTTGATTGCATGTTTGGTCAATTTTAGACAGAAGAAGTTGATAAAATTCTTCAATTTTTATCATCACTGGCTTTAGTGGTTGGTGCATAAATTTGAATAATAGTGATGTTAACTGGTCTTCCTTGTAGGCATATGGGTGTTATCCTATCATAGACAGCATTAATGTTCTTTATGATGATGAATGCGGCACCATTCCTCTTCAATTTGTTATTCCCTGCATAGTAAACCATGCGACTGTCAGATTCAGAATGGCTAATACCAGTCCAATTCAGTTCACTAATGCCTAGGATATCGATGTTTATGCATTCCATTTCATTTTTGACAATTTCCAATTTTCCTAGATTCTTACTTTGTACATTCCATGTTCCAATTATTAATGGATGTCACAGCAGTTTCTCTTCATTTTGAGTTGTGCCCAATCATCAAATGAAGGTTCTGAAAGCTTCACTCCATTCTCGTCATCACTGTCAACTCAACTTTGAGAAGGCAGCTCTTCCTAGTCACATTTTGAGTGCCTTCCAAGCTGAGTCGCTCATCCTCTGGCACTATATCTGAAAATACACTGTTGAGCTTCATCATGATTCGGTAGTCAATATTCTGGTGCTATCTTACAGTGTTCCACTGCTACTCATAAGGATTTCAGTGACTAAATATTTGGAGGTAGTCCATCCCTCCTTTTTCCTAGTCTGTCTTAGTCTGTAAGCTCATCAGAAACCTGTCCACCACCATGGTTAACTCTGCTGGAATTTAAAATACCCATGGCATAGTTTCCAGAATCACAGCAATGCAGAAGCCATTGTAGTATGACAAACTGACAGACAAGTGATGTCTACTGTTGTTAGTGCCGTCGAGTTCGTCTTGATAGGGTTTCTGATGAGCAGTTGATAGGCTTGTGCCACCAACCTTGTGGTTCAGGCCAACTTTACATTAACCCACAGTGCCATACCAGGATGTAGGAGAAAAATGTAGGGGAATTTATGCAAGGGCACTTCAAAAAGTTCATGGAAAAATAGAATTAAAAGATAAAAATTAAAAATGTAAACTTTATTCCTCAGTATAAGTTTCATCATGGTCATGACACTTGTGAGTGATGATAGCAGCCATGTAATCCATCCCTGAAGAACTTGAGTATCAGTGCATTCTGATTTATGGTATTAACTGTTGAAAAATGAGTGTCCTTTAAAGATTAAGAAGGAAAAAGAAGTCAGAGGAGCCTTTCTTAGGAAGGGTTCTCTAGAGAAGTAAAACCAGTGAAGCTTTTATATATATATATTTGTGTGTGTGTGTGTGTGTGTGTGTGTGTGCGCGCGCGCGCTCACGTGCATGTGTGTTTGTATATATACATACATATATATATAAAGAGGTTTCTATCAAGGGAAATGGCTCTACATGGTTATAGAGGTGGACAAGTTCATGGTCAGACAT